CGGCTGGCTTTGACAATATTTCATTGTGTTGTCAGCCAGATTCTCAGAAGTGAAGTAAACTCATTAAATGGGAAAATGTAAATACTGTTAAATGCAGTTCCAGGTTTTGTGTGCCTGCATTAAGCTTCAGTGCTGCATAGCACTGTAAGCAGTGGTGGAATTCAGCCAGTTTGCACCACTTCGGCAGAACCGGTAGCTAATTTTTTGTTGCCCAGGCCCAGAATGGACTTCCAGAAGTAACATCCAGAGAACCGGTTGTTCACCTATTTGAATCCAACTACTGACTGTAAGCCATGCTAGGGGTTGAAAACCAACTAGAGATCCTTTGTCCTTCACTCATGCTCTAAATTATGTCCAAATGGAAAGATGCGGATAATGTAATACTTGGGACAGAATGTCAATAGCATTATACCAGAAGAAATATCCATCTGGAGATCCTGATCAGTAGAACTTCTCTGACAAAGGGATAAGGAAAATTAATTAATGGCTGAACTGCCCAGGCTTGGTGCTAGCAACCTCACCAATATTTGAAATCCATTGTAAGATGGTTCCTCTTCAGAAAACACCACACTAATATATCTCGGAAATTCTTAGATTCTGATAAAACATTCAAAAATGTTTTGCTAAGAATGAGAACTTATGATCGAGTGTTCTCCAAAGAGAGATTGGGAAAGTCCTCCTTAGACAAGAAAAGGTCTAAGTCATCTTGAGGGACATCAAAGTAATGTCCGTATAGCATTACTCTAGTCTGCAGCATGAGACTTATACAACCATGGTCAATGGCAGAAGGACATTATGAGTAGGTTATAGGAGGGTGAACCAGAGGTTTGCACGTGTCTCTGCAAGGGCCCCTGCTGCAGATAATCATGATGAAAACATAATGACTCCGCTGAGACATTGTATGGAGAGATCATTGTTTTTCCTGGATTGATGTACCATGGACAATTGAACAGGGCTAGAGATTGCCCAAGTATCCCAAGCAGGTTGGTTCCAAGAATGCTGGAATATACAAATAAATAAAATTGGGATCTGAAAATGGGTTCTCAAGCAGGACTCTGGGGATCTTGTATACAAATTAAACAACATAGAAAACTGAAAAGGTAGGACTAGAAAATCAAGAGAGTAATATTATGAATGCCAAGGCACCTGTGAATTTGTGCCAACAGGATTCTTGCTACGCTATTGAGTTACACACAATACTTTGGCACAGGAGGAGGGAGCAGCTGCCTTCTTCTCTCTAAGCAAAGGCAAGAACAACAAGCTTTCTCTACAAGATCATTTTAAAGAATGAGTGCTGGTGAAATACTCAAGGATAGACCATTGAAGGGCTCAGAAAATCCTATCATTGTGGGCAACTGACATCTGCTTTTGCACACTGGAATGGACCCCAAACGTTGCATTTTGTTGAACTCCTAGGCAACTGTTATCCTTATCTACTTGTAGCATTTTTGCACCTCCCTATTCCAAATTCGTCTTGAATGGTAGCTTAGGAAAAATGGGAGGGCAAACCTGAGAATGTTCACTCTTACTCTTGACCTTTCTAAATACCCTGGGACAGATCTTCCTAGGATTGAGTGGAAATCTTTGGATCAAATTAGTTTGATTGTGGAAGCCATTGAATTTTACCAAGTGGATGTGCCTTCTCTCCCCAAAGCCAGCCCCAGCAACACTGCCTGTCTGTTCTCCAGTGCATTCTGTCCTGCAATCCAAGGAATGCCTCATTCACGATATATAAATGAAGACTCCATGTCCAGCTGACAGCATCTAAAAAGGCTAAATCATGACAACTGGAGCAAAGTTTAGATGCTACATTCACAAGTCTTCCCCACTTTTCACTTCACTATACTAGAAATCTTTGCAGTTTGCCTAGACAGTTTGGTAGCAGATTGGAGCTCTACAAAGATATTATTTATAGCCATTTCTCACTATCTCCCCAGAGCCTGCAAATTTGGGGGCATTGAGGTTTTTTTGTAGAATAAATCTGGAATGGTATCTTGGTCTCTGGGAAGTTAGGTTAGGATAGTGGGTGCTGATGGCTGCCAACGGTTTGTGGTTAGGATAGTGGGTGCTGATGGCTGCCAACGGTTTGTGCTTTATGGCCTTCTCTTTCTCATCAGAAACTACAAGTAGCATAACCTCCTTCCTCATCTGCACACCTGCTATCGCATGCATATTCCTATCTACTACGATATTCCAGCTGAACATGTTTTTGTCATGCCTCTCCTAGGAGTTCTAAGTTAGATGTTTCTTACCCAGATTGCTTGGTGGATCTAAAAGAGATAACAATGAATTTGCTCAGCTTCTATCACTTGATCAACCAACAGGTTGATCAAACAATCCTTTGCTGGAGAGCCCACCAGGGGTACGCAAAGAGAGAATGCACAGTTGCAGCTTATACTCCATGTCCTAAATGTGTACACACTCCATAGTTTTATAACTTTGTAGATATAGGCCATCTTCTACTATTGGTTGCATCGAAATCCCATGTCATCTCATGTCATCTCCATAAAGTTACATTTTCCCTATGCTCTGAAATGAACCCATTAGCAACCCATTTAGTGCTTTCCTGCACACTGCTCTTAATTTAACCAAGTTGAAGAATGCCCTTTGATGTAACCAGCCACGATGCCATCCTCCTTTCTTTCTGCAGCGCCCCTTAAGAGAGAGAACCTGGAGGACATTTGCTAAGACCCGATCCCCCCACATTGAAACATTCCTAGTTGATTTGTCTGCTTAGTCTCTAAGTAATGGTGAGACCTCTTGGGGAAGTTTGCTCTTGACGACCCAGCAATCTTCTCAGCCTTGCAAGCTCACAGAGAAAGTACTTGTAGCGAACCCCATGCACAACGACACACCTTTGTGGAAATGTAATGTGAGTTCTCGAGCGGTGCTTCATTGCCATCCATTTTCCTCAAGAGGAAACACAAAAAGAAAAAAAGAAAGAAAGAAAGAAAAAGGAAAGAAAACAAAGCCTAACTCCATCTGCACATCAGGCACAAACAGCAGAACCCAAGTGACACGTCTAAGAATCCGGACGTCCGGGAAAACAACACGAAACAAAATAGATTAACTTGCTTACCTGTCAGAACCCAGCATGCCTCAGCCAGCTCATGCAAATTTGTTTTATTCATCAAACATGTTTGTGTGTGTGTGTGTGTGTGTGTGTGTGTGTGTGTCTTCACTGCCAGAACATGATAAGCACATTAGGAAGGCCACACGGCATGCAGAGCTTTAACATTCATTGTTCCACATAAATATATAAATATATATCTATATTTCTCTTCAGAAACAGATCCATGAACAGCACTTTGAGAATCTAGGCGCCCATCCCAAGACCTGTTTCACCTTTAGAGGCTCTTTTTTTGTGTGTGTGTGTCTTCCTCAAAATGGAATAACATTTCTTGAAAATATTCTCCATCTACAACTCTAGAATTTGATTCTTGTTCTAATCACCTTGCCTGGTCTTGTGAGGGAAGTGCAAAAAAAAAATCCCAAAACCCATCTCTGAGCTAACATTCAAATCTTTTTTCTCCCATATCTTTCTTTCTCTCCTTCTTGATTGCTGAATGCGGATTTAATTGTAACTGGAGAAAACTCTTATTCTTGCCTAATGGGTTTGGTATTAAAAAAAAGATCGTATTGAATGTCTGTTGAATTTATTTTGAGGGTGCAAGGTATAGATTGAAAATATTTTGTGCATCAGATACTTCATTTTTTTTATGTCCAAATCTCAAGAATTCAGCAACCTTGCCTCCAAGATTTTAAGATTTTTTTTCCCCAATGTCATTGGCAAGACTAATAACCAGATCTCACCAGATTTTACAATCCCATGAAATTTCAGCTACTTTAATTTAACTATTATTTAATTTGGGAGTTTTGCAAATGCTACCATGGGTATTCACTGATGCTGTGATGTTCCTGTTCTTGTTAATTTCCAGCTAATAGGCAGAAGGGAAAAACTCCAGGGTTTGCTAAGGGAGACACTGAAGAATAGATTTAATTCGTCGGATGAAATCAATAACTCTGTTTGCAGACATTTTTCCCAGTGGATGAACACCCCAACCGTTGCATTTTTGCAATAAGCTGAAGCTAGATGGTTACTGTTAACTTTGGTTTAAGTTCCTCTATAGCTTCATGTCTTATTCAGTTCAGCTGGATTTTTTTTTAAAATTAATGGTTAAGTGCATCATAGCATTCAGGAAGGAGTTAATTCAGGACCCAGCTTAAACACGTTCTGTTTACAGGGCAATCTTCGATATGTTTACTCAGAGGAGTAAGAGGTGAGTTTCACTCCTCAGTAACTGAGACACTTAGAAATTACTTTCGAATAGAGCACAAACAGGCTTACACTGTTACAGCTTTAATGCTATGCGCACTTATTTAGATGTGCATCCTGCTTCTGATACACAGACTTGATTTAGTGGCTTGAGGGTTTAAACGTGTTGTGGGAATAAGACTATAGAAAAGAGGAGAGATAGGAGTCTTTGCTTTTCACTTTCCTTATCCCCTGTTTGCTTCATCTAATTCTCATGCTCGCTTGTAAATATTTTCAAAAGCCATGGGAAAATGCACATGCATTTTCACGTACCCTCTACTGCTTGTGTATACCCCTTTCCCTAATGTACTGCTTTGGGGAACATGTCTCAATGGGTGTATTTTTTGCAAATAGTTCTCTCTTTCCCCCCCTAGAAAGTATAGTTTGCCTGCTGACTTTGCCCTGACAGATGAACAGGTGAATTCCACTTCCCTCAGTTGGTACCCTCCATGTGTGTGGGATGCCGTTTATCATAATGATGGGCCCGGATGTTGAACAGACAGAGGTTACCTCACTGGAAAAGAACTGTCAAGTCTTACTCATAGCTATTCATGGATTTCAAGTCTAGAAGCTCTTGCTGTGCATGGAGCAAGGAAAGACCCTGGTGACACAAAAGCCAAGGTGGGTCCAAGGAGCGCTGTGCTTCCCAGGTCAAGGATCTATTCAGTACAAAAGAAACTCTTACCTATCACTGTAGGCAGTGGCAGTAGCGGTAGTAGGTTGGGCGTACCGATAGGCAGCGTATCCCCCCTGCAACACAAAGTTTTTCATAATCAGACAAGAAATCCAGAGAGCAGGTAAAATGCAGCCCCCCCACATGTGCCCTACCTTTACAAAAAATAAGCCATTTTAGGTTTTTCATGATCCGCTGGAGAGATGTCTATGGAGATTGTCATTCATCCAGGTCATGGTTTTAATAATAATAATAATAATAATAATAATAATAATAATAATACACCATTGGCATTGACAAATTCGCTATTAGTCAATTGCAAAAGGCAACCTTACTAGGAACTGCTTCCATCCTGCGACGATATCTGTAATATCATCAAACATCCACATCTGCCTATCCCAGGTCCTGGGTAAGGACTCGATAGGTAGACAAAATGCCAAATCCAGTCTGAACATCTGGCTGACTGTGCGATGATCCATAATAATAATAATAGTAAAGATGGAAGGGACCTTGGAGGTCATCGAGTCCAACCCCCTGCTCAGGCAGGCAGGAAACCCTACACCATTTCAGACAGATGGCTGTTCAGTCTCTTCTTAAAAACTTCCAGTGCTGGAGCATTCACCGCTTCTGGAGGCAGGTTGTTCCACTGGTTAATTGTTCTCACTGTCAGGAAGTTTCTCCTTAGTTCTAGGTTGCTTCTCTCCTTGACGAGTTTCCATCCGTTGCTTTTTGTTCTGCCCTCAGGCGCTTTGGAGAATAGCTTGACTCCCTCTTCTTTGGGGCAACCCCTGAGATATTGGAACACTGCTATCCCAAAGGTGTATTTCAAAAGACAATGGGACTTTCTTATTTTTTTTTTAAAAAAAATGTTTCCCTTCTCATTGAAGAAGCTTCTTCAGTGCTGACCTCAGAAATGAATGAATGAGAATTGAAGCATTTTTCAGAAAAACAAAACAAAACCCAAGAAAGTCCCGTTTCCTTTTGAAAAGCACCTTTGGGATGAAGGGATTCCCCAGGGATGTCTGGGGAAACGACAGGTTTTGCTGATACAACAGCTGGATGAATAGGAAGCCTCCATGAGGATGGCAACATTGGAGGCGGGGCTTGAAAGGAAAGGCAATTTGCTGAAGAAAGCTATGGGTAGCTTCCACAGGTGGGAACTCCAAAAAGTTTAGGGAAGTAGATTTCCTAATTCCCACCACATATGATAGTATGTTCCACTTGTCAAATTACATTTCCAACATTTAGGGGAGACATTGGTATACATTTTAGCCAATCTTGTGGGTGGGAGATGCCCTCTATAAAACATTTTGTAGAGGTTCTCTTTGTAAGAGGAGGTGGCCAAAGTAAGGGTCTTGTTTCTTGCCCATAGTTCTTGCCAGATGTGCAGATCAAAATTAAGACCAAAGTCCTTGCTCCAATTCAACATAGTCACTTTTACTTGTTCCTCGTATATTGCCTGATCTAACAAATAATGGTATAATTTTTTAATCATTTTATCCTCTGACCCAAATATTATTTTATCCAATTCTATTGTTAAAAGGCTTAGATATATTGATAAGAAAGTGGAGGAAAGAGATGTAAGGCCAATGGCTTTGACAGAGTATGTGACTTTGTCATGGTTAATGGTTTAGCATGCTGCAAAGACCAAACCAATTGCAGTTAAGGCAACAAGCCATAGTTAAAACAAATCATGCTTCAGGAATGTGTTGGGAATTCAGAGATCTGGGCAGTGGTCTAGCTACAGCAATATGAGTTTCATGCAAAGCTTGAAAGTTGTTTTAACCATGGGTTCTTTAACAAGCTAAATCTATCTTGAGGTTGATTTGGTCGATAACTGTGTCTGGCTTCTTCTCCTTTGTTCCTAGCTGCTCCTGTTTGCAGTTGATTTGCCTACATTTCAATAGGTTGGTTTGGTGTTTGGATGGGAGACAGAAAAAAATCAGTAGAAAGATGCAATCAAACCAGGGATCCAACATCACTTTTGACCAAAATTACAATCGGTAAGTCAGAATGTAATCGTGGTTTCAAATAATTGAGCATCCTGAAGCAAGCAAAGTTCTGTTCTCTTCTTTGCTGACCCTGGGGACTCATCTCAGCTAGTCAAAAAAAGTTATCAGGTGGTCTTCTTCCTCCAGTAGAGATTTGAATATGGGTCCTTCAAGCCTCAGATCTTCCAGTAGAGTTAATAATAATCATAATAATAATAGCTGACTGTGTTCAGCAGGTCAGCAGTTCGAATCTCACCGGCTCAAGGTTGACTCAGCCTTCCATCCTTCCGAGGTAGGTAAAATGAGGACCCAGATTGTTGGGGGCAATGTAAATATATATATACATTGCTTACTGGTGTATACCACTTAGAGAGTGCTTGCACTTAAAGCGGTATATAAGTCTCATAAATAAATAAATAATAATAATGATGATGATGATGATGATGATAAAGTTGGAATGGACCTTGGAGGTCATCTAGTCCAACCCCCTGCTCAGGCAGGAGCCCTACACTATTTTGGACAAATGGCTGTCCAGTTTCTTCTTAAAAACTTCCAGTGTTGGAGCATTCACCGCTTCTGGAGGCAGGTGGTTCCACTGGTTAATTGTTCTAGCTGTCAGGAAGTTTCTCCTTAATTCTAGGTTGCTTCTCTCTTTGGTTAGTTTCAATCTATTGCTTCCTGTCCTGCCTTCAGGTGCTTTAGAGAAAAGCTTGACTCCCTCTTCTTTGGGGCAGCTCCTGAGATATTGGAACACTGCTATCATGTCCCCCCTCGTCCTTCTCTTCATTAAACTAGACATACCCAATTCCAGCAACCATTCCTTATATGTTCTAACAACTTGCCCATTTACCTTCTAGAAATCAAAGTCCTTATAAAATAGCTATTTTCTGCTCTTCATTCCTGTGAAACTCAGCATTCTTATTCACCTCTCTCAATGCGCTCTTACAAAGCAGAAGGAAAAACTTTGAGGTCAAGAGATGCATGGGGAATTATACATCATGGAGGCGGCAGCCCTGATGCATGAATTTAAATAGGCATCATCGTAACACAAATTTTAGTCTAAGCCAGGAAAGCAGACTAGTTTTCATTCCTGTTCTTGGCCCTGCATTTTTTATCCTGCTTTCACTTGTGATACTAGTGAGGAAAAACAAATAAAATACAACTTTGGGGGCTGCCATCCTAGTATGGTGGGGATAGATAAGACTTTATGACAGTCATAGACCAAAAAGGAAGAGACCATATAACAAAACAGAGCAAAGCCATTAGCATAACTATGAGCTTCTATTACAGCTCGTGGTGGCGGGGGGGGGGGGGGGAGGGAGTTTACACACAAAGCTTGGCAACATTTAAGGACAACAGAATTGCCTTTGTTATCTGATAGGCAATGTGAGCAAAATAAATCAGAATGCCCTGTGCATTTAGAAGGGGGGGGGGAGATCACTTGCAAATCGGTGTCCCTGTGGAACTGGCAGCAAAAAACACAACACAGGCTGTGCTTTCTGCTGCACCTGCATCACAGGAGCAAAACTGCTGCAGGGGGAACATTAAAACAAGGCAAAGATGAAGCGCTTCTCAATTCTGAAACTGTGTTCTTATCCAGCTAACTGGCCAAATTGTACTTGGAAGCTGGCTGATAATGAACACATCATGGGCACAAGCTGCACCGTCCAATTGGCCTTCTCTTGTCTAGAATTGCTTCTTTCAAAATTCAGTTGTCCAAAGAGCATAGAAGTGAAATTTCCCAGTAATATATTTTTTTCCCAGGTGGATTCAAGCTCTAGTATGGCAGAGCTTTGATGGCTTTGTAAATTGAATACTTGTGCCTTTGAAGGTAAGTAATTGGGGCAGTGGTGGCGAACCTATGGCACGGGTGCCAGAGGCGGCACTCGGAGCCCTCTCTGTGGGCACGCGTGCCGTCGCCCCAGTCCTAGGCCTTCAGCTGGGTTTTATAAAACCTTTTCGCTTTAGGCCTCCACCGCTGGGTGCAAAAAAAAAAAAAAAGTTTCAGTCAGTCAATTTCAACTTCTCGCGGGGAAAAAAAAGATCTTGCAAAGTTGGAATTGATTGATTGAACTTTTTAGTCCCACCCAGTCTGCCGTTACCACCGCAGCCACGCCCTCCCAATGGGCCACACCCACCCGGCACTTGATGACGCATAAGTGGGTTTTGGGTTGCAGTTTGGGCACTTAGTCTCTAAAAGGTTTGCCATCACTGAACTGGGGTGTCATTGTGGTTCCATTTTGCAAGGGCTAAGACAACTTCATTTTGAGATTTTTAGGTAACTGTTCTCAGTTTTGTGTACTTGACTATCTTTGACATTTACTGCTAATACCGCGTAAAAGCATGCTAAAAATAGTTCCTACGACAGATTTTTTTTTAAGCAAACTAGGCAAGTTTAAGATGTGTAGACCTCAGCTCCCAGAACCCCCCAGTCAATCATGCTGGCCGGAGAATTCTGTGGGTTGAGGTCCACAGGTCTTAAACTTACCATGTTCGAGAAACAGTGCTTTGCAATATTCTGCTGGAAGGTCTCCTCCTATTTTAGGGTGCCTTTTACCATTTGTGGAAGTTAATGGATGTGAGATGATTATGTCAGTTGTTGATTTTTGATCTGCACGTTATTGATGTGGCAGTTAGTGGAATTTATTCTGCCAATTAGATTTTCAGTTGCGAAAGTGGGTCTGTAACATTCATGTTATGGAACAATTTGACTCTAATTAGTAGTTATATTTTTCTTTTACCTACACAGTACTATTTCACTGTAGATCTGGTAACATGCTTAGCTTCTGACATGACATAAAGGCATAAATAAGGCTGCTACTAATTAGGATTCTGCAACTCAAATTAAATTTTGCTCCTCAAACAGAAACCTACCCCAAACAGCAGAACAACCTTGCCATTTGATTATAATCATGATGAAGTTGCGACTATCAGTCTAATAAATGAATTTAAAAATAGCCACATGCTTCAAGATTTACAGACTAGTGCTATGTTTGTGTCATGCACACTGGAAAATCTGGCACAGTGATACTCAATTTTACTGCCAACAGTATAGTCGGGGCAGCCTGGGGAACAAATAAAGCTAT